TGTACATTGTTTAGAAGTTTTATTAGTGAAATATTTTTTACAAGGTTGAAAAACATGATGTTGAACCCAAGGAGAGCAGTAACCCAAGAACATCGTACATGTCATATTTTTCATAAAAAATACATTTATTAGTTGGTAACCAAAATTAGATTCTTACAAAAAGCCTCACGCCTCTTCCGTCGGGCATAACACAAAAATGGTCAATCCCATCAGAATTTTCCTTTCAGTAAAAGTGGCATAAAATAAGCTCTAGAATCGAATCGTACAATAAAAAATGTGGTATTTTCATTTGAAATAACAAAGTTAGTGTCATTTTCCAGGTGGAAGAGAAAGTTATGTTAAATTTGTTACCACTACGCGATTCCTAGCCACAATTAAATTTGAGTTTCTATAAGACCATTTTTTTTCTAAAGTTAATCATTTTCAAAATAAACGGGGTGGGCCATCTTGTTACAAAAAGCATACTACCCTCACACGTCTTCCGTCGGGCATAACTTAGAAAATTTTCCTTTCAGTAAAAGTGGCATAAAATTAGCTCTAGAATCAAGGACTCGAATTGTACTTTAAAAAATAGTATTCTTATTTAAAATAACAAAGTGTCATTTCCCAGTTAGATAAGAAAGTTATGTTAAATCTTTAGTCACGCGATTCCTAGCCAAGATTAACTTGGGGGTTTGTATAAGACGATTTTTTGCTAAAGTTAAGCGTTTCCGAATTAAATGGGTGTATTATAGAAGTTAATACACCTTGTAAATAATATATGTGTACATGCATACAAAATTGAACGAGATTAAAACAACATGAGTGTCAATAGAAATTATTTAATTATAATTGTTTGAAAGAAAATTCACCAAAACACCAAAAAATCAGTGTTGCCCACAGTGTTACCAAAACGAAGGATGAAGGGAAAAACTTGCGAAGGGAAAATTCGATTTTCATATATACACGTATAATGTTCACACCTAGGCTGTAAATTGTTGATAGTTATTTATGGGAAAGACGAAGTTTTGATGTATTTATTACTTAATCAAAAATAAGCAATAAACAAACGTTGAAATCTTTAATTGTGGTGACTTTATTGCTTTCTTTTCAATCAGGACCCAGTTCTTTTATCTGTGAATTATTTTTTACCCCTTATTCACTTCACAGTTGAGTCGTTGGTCATATCAAACATTTTCTTACATAAACTAACGTTGCTACATACTTTTCAATTAATTAATCATTAAGTAAGGTATTGGTTGAGAAAAAAGTCAGTGTCACGAGCGGGATTCGAACCCACGACCTTCGTGTCCACTACACTACCACCACCAGGTCAATCGGACCACGAAACCTAATCGGTTGCTACATACATTTATCGTTGTATTTTCAACTTATTTTAAAAATTCCCACAGTGTGAGTTCAGTGAAACTGATCTTTTTCTAATTTTTATGTAATAGTGCTTGTTATTCTAAATTTCTTCTTTACCAAATTCTGCACAAATTTGTTTTTTTAGCATCTTCAGTGGGTTGTGTAAAGGTTTTCGTTTGATCACCCGTTAGACCAGGAATCCAAGACTGATAGTACATCATTTCCCAAAATTCGGGACCAGTAGGATGAGATGGGGAGTTGGTGTCCGAGTGAATTGAACTCACCGTAGCTCAAGTTGTTAGAGCAGAGGCGTATTGAGCCGAAGGTCGTGGGTTCGAATCTCGCTCATGAAACTAGCTGTTTCATCTCAACCAACACCTTAGACAAAAAGTACAATTAATATAAATAATTAATAAGTCAACTCTGACTTCTAAATACCATTTCCCAAAATGTTCAGAATTTCAAGACCTTTCGTTGTCGAACGAGGAAATATTATAGTCCTTGTTTAACAGGTATGCTGTATCCGGCAACTGGGTCGGTTAACCTGTTATAAATAGGTTCAATTGGTGTAACTACTGTTTTGCAGCGGTAAGGAGCATTGTCCCAAGTAAGTTACCGATGTTCATCACCCTTAATCACCAGTGCCTGGGACCCCCGCTCCGCCCGTTCCACCACAAGCTAAGCCTTCCAATGCTTCCAGGGCGCCCATTGTTCCAGCTGAAAACAAGATTTATCCGTCAGACGAGAGGCCCGTTTCCAGTTAACGTGATCCAACATGGAGTACGAGGCCGGGTAATTGGAGAAATAGTCGCCCTCCCGTTCCATAATAAATCCGGCCCCCGCGGAAATTGATTTTATAACAGTAATAATGCCAATTGGCTACCTTGTGACGAAAATAAATCAAAATTGACATTTTTGAAAAGAGAAAAGAGGAAGAAACAGATATTATTTTAAACGGCTCATTATATATATAACGATATAAATAAATCATACGCTTTCTATAAAATGTAACGACAAAATAAACAAGAGATCCAGACAGAATCAAACAAGGTAAAAATCATTTTTATGAGAAAAGACCCTTTTTTTAGCTTCATTCGTAAACTGTTTTTGAATTACCTGGAGGTTATTTGGTCAATCGGACCACGAAATATAATGGACTTAATAAAGTCAAATGAAGTATATCTTCTCTAAAGCTGTCCGTGGCCATTTCATTTGTCGCCGAGAATCGAATTCTGATGACACGACATTTGAAAAATGGCAAAAAGAGGGAAAATTCGAAAGGTAGCTTGAGATGGGAGGTTGGTGTCCGAGTGGATCGAAGTCACGATAAACTTCAATAAGCAACTTCAATCAAGCAGAAAATACTTCTTCGGCGAGCATTAACCTATGGCCTTATTCAAAATCATCCTTGGTTTTCGCATATTTACATAGAAAGTAACACCAAAACGCACAAGGCTCGCTGTTTACTCACTTTTCTATTCAACCCAATGGACTTGGTCTTCTGTGTCTTCTTAATAAAGCCTAGAACGCACTAAGATTCTTTGAATCGATTCATTGTTGCGATGCAGCCCCGACTCTGCTCCGCGACAAAGAACCGTGTCCAGACCACAATTCTGTTCACATTCATCAGTGCCTGCGAAAATGATGAGGAACTAGTTCTCAGGAATTTCCCTTGCTCTTTTTTGCATAGTACGTAGTGCATCCTATCGGAAGTGCATTAAAAAACTATCATTTTAAAGTGTGCATTTCTTTTCAATTGCGGCGATGGAAACACTGAATTTTTGTGTTAAACCGTTCAATGTTTGGCTTTTCCCGATTTGTGTATTCCGTGAATGATATATCCCACAAGCTCCGATGGGAATGTATGTCTTCAATAACTGTAAAGTCAACTCGGTACTCCACTACTTTAATACAAGACAGTATCAAAATCTTCAAGAAAACACTCACTAGAACGTCAACTAAACAAATGAAGCAAGAGCTTTTGTTCCGATTCACGTCCGCACTGCCAAATGTTGCGCAACATTGAGTCAAAGAATCCCACATCGGATGGGATTCAAAAGAGTCTCAAAATGCTAACTCGCAACACACCAAATTCATCGCAACAATGAGTCGGGGCAGCCCGGACTCAGGCTAGACGCAGCCGAGACACTCCGGAGATTCAAAGAGTCGACTCAAAGAATCCCAGTGCGTACTAGGCCTAACACTGCACTGTCAAGGACCTTGTTATGGGAACCATGGCAAATTTGGCCGGCCATAGCTTGCTCAACCGTACCCAGATGATTACTGCAGCAGATAAACCTACCAGGTACACGGCAGTACGTTGTTCTGGTATCATAAAATGACTCGCATAATTCGCTGACTGGCACAGCTCCATAGCCCAGATAGCACAGGTTCACTTCATTATATTGTGTGGTCCGATTGACCAAATAACTTCTTTCAATTAATTAATCTTTATGTAAGGCATTGGTTGAAAAGAAAAAAATAGTGTCACGAGCGGGATTCGAACCCACGACCTCCGGCTAAATACGCCGCTGTTCTACCACTTGAGCTATCTTGACTTAGATCCACTCTGACACCAACTTCCCATCTCAACCTACCTTTCGAATTTTCCCTCCTTTTTTGTGATTTTTCAAATGTCGTGTAATCATCGCTCATGACACTTTTTCATTTCAACCAATGCCTTTCATAAAGATTAATTAATTGAAAGAAGTTATTTGGTCAATCGGACCACGAAATATAATAGACTTAATAAAGTCAAAAGAAGTATTTCTTCTCTAAAGCTCTCCGTGGTCATTTCATTTGTCGCCGAGAATCGAATCCTGATGACACGACATTTGAAAAAATGGCAAAAAGAGGGAAAATTCGAAAGGTTGTATGTTGAGATGGGGAGTTGATGTCCGAGTAGATCGAAGTCGCTGTAGCTCAAGTGGTTAGAGCTGCGGCGTTATTTGAGCCGAAGGTCGTGGGTTCGAATCCCGCTCGTGACACTGGCTTCTTTATTTCAACGAATAAATATTAATTAATTATAATTAACATTTATTAGAACTTTTGGGCTACAAATGGTTTATTTATGCTACCTACTGTTGAGCCCTGAAGAAAGTACAATAAAGTTCCGAAAGCTAGGCGAAGATTTAAAATTGAAAATATCTTTCTTACACCATATCTCTTAACAACTAAGAGAAAACTATTTATGGTACATTAAAAAAAAGTATCATAGAAATTATAACAAGATCATTAATTAAATGTATCAAATCGACCATTTGGAAGTCGGAAAAATTCAATTTAAAAGATAAAAATCGGCTTTTATGACTAATCAAAAAACGTATATTTCAAAAGGCTTACAATAATACATTTATATACATAATGTATATCGTGTACGCTATGGGCAATATACAACCACATACGTGTTACGTTTTTAGCATTTATGATAGCTGGGATATAAAGTATATCGTAGAATCCATCAGGTTGACGGTGTCGCGATCGGCGAGGAACTTGGATTTTATGGGTCATCAAAAACGATTGATAACGTCGTAACAACTTAAAATAGACCTATTTAGGGATGAGAGGGGTTGTAACATTTCCGATATTTACTAAATTTTTCGATTCACCCCAACTGGAAATAGTTTTTACAAAAAATATATTTTTCATTTCAGGTGCCAAAGAGGGAATAAAATGTTGTCGCCACAAAGATCTCTGCTCATAACCATCATCTGTCTTGCTCAAATTTGTTGGTAAGTTATATTTAAATACATTTTACTTAAGAAACAAACCAAACATTCGCCCGGACACTATTTTTCTTATTCGAAAATTCTCTCTCTTACCTTATTTCTCTCCCTGTCTCTTTTATTCACCTTTTTTTCTCTCTCTCCCTTATTTTCTAACTCTATTTCCTTGTGTTTCATTCAGGCAATTATAATATAAATTACATGTTGAAATGTGTAAGATCTGACGGTCGTTTTTTATTGTACACCGAGAGGGAAAAAGTGGCCTGCCTTAATATTTTTAATTATCTCTTAGACAATCCTCCATTAATTATCTTTCTACAATATTTGGTTTTAAAGTATTACTCGTAATTAAAAACAGATAAAATCTCCCACTTGTGTTTACAATTGCATTTTGTAAATAAATCGTTGAGTCAATATTTCCTTTGTTTTTCTGTTAAGTCTCTTCCTACGTTCCGGCGGTTTTGTACCAATAATTGTAATTTTTTTATGTTGTACGTATGTACTGTGTAAAAAATGTAAAATGTACTAGAAAGTAAGGGTACAAATAAGATAATTAAAAAAATATGTAAATTAAAGAAATAAATAAAACGGACCAACAGTTCCGCATGACACAGACGTCGTACGGGTTTAGCCTATCTAATAATTATTGAATAAACACTTCTTTATATTTAAAAAAACGAGATTAACTTCTCACAAAAATATTTAGTTATTTTATGTATTTTCTTAGAGAAATCTTTTACATATTTTTATGGTACATACGTCGTTAACAAGCTACGTTTATCTTTTTTCAAATGTACAGGGTGTCCCAGTTCCTTCTGACGAAACTCAGGGAATCGATTCTACTCTTCGTTTGGAGCAAAAAATGCTCAGGAGAAAATTTTCGGAAAGTTCTCTATTTTGAAGATATTCGTCAATTTAGGACAAAAAAAAAAGCTTACAACTCCCAAAATGTTGAGACTACAACAAATCCAATTACACCATTTGAAAGAACGCTAAATTTGCTGTAAGATACTTCTATTTGCAAAAATCTGAATGACGAAATGTTAGCCAATATCAGTTGGAACATGTCAAAATTACAAAATTTAAAATTTTGGTCATGATTGCACGTTCTACTGAGGTTACAAAAAAATACGTACAACTTGTCAAATTTCACAAAAACTTCTTCATCTAATATGCTTTACGTTGATATATCCAGGTTTTTAAATAACGTTCTAGCAGAGTTGAAAAAAAAAAATCATGTAATTTTTACATGTTCCAACTGATATTGGCTAACATTTTGTGTCATTCAGATTATTGCAAATAGAAGTATCTTACAGAAAATTTAGCGTTCTTTCAAATGGTATAATTGGATTTGTTGTAGTCTCAACATTTTGGAAGTTGTAAGCGTTTTTTTGTGGTAAGGTAGTGAAAAGTTGAAAACACCTAAATTGACGAATATCATCAAAATAGAGAACTTTTCGAAAATTTTCTCCTGAGCATTTTTTACTCCAAACGAAGAATAGAATCGATTCCCTGGGTTTCGTCAGAAGGAACTGGGACACCCTGTATATTTGACGTTAAACTTGTTTTAGCCGTTTTTGAATTATTTCCGTTTCAATAAGATATTCCGAGGACGACTTCTTAAAAATCGGAAATATATTAAGCGGTCGGTAAAAAATCGATAAATTTAATTAAAAACAATTCATATTTAGGGGTCTCTAGAGGTGCTAAAACGAAATTTTATATTAGCTTTTAAAAAATGTATGACCTAGTTTACTTGAAAAATATTTGGTTTTTGGAAATGTTTTGGCTATGATAAACTTTGATTGCTTTTACTTTTATTGCAATCTACATAAATAATTCTTTAAAATGTTATATTCACATAGCTGATTTGAGTGAGTAGAACGGCGAACTAAAAATATTAAAAAATGGAAAAGTTCAACTTTCATAATTTTTGGTCGAAGCCAAGGCTTATTTACAAGAAATGGCGGAAACGTGCCCCATATTTTATAGTGTAGAATCACAAAAAAGGTTTGGCCCAAATCCATGAGACACCAACCTGGTCGTATCCTAAGTAGTTTAATTTGTTATTTAATTTATTTATCTTATATTGTTCTTCAAAAAAATCCAATAAACAACAGAAAATAAAAATTATAACAATTGCATGTATTTACTATAAAAAAAAGAGTGTGGCAACTTCTTTGCCTTTCAGTGGATATTATTTCTTTCAAAAGCAAGGCTTGTTGGTAGATTATAAAGATTAAACAGTTGCATTACAAGAGATTGCATAGAGCATGACCTATAAAAAGCAAAGACATAATTTATTTTATGAAGAACAAAAACAAAGTTGCAGAAAGTTGAAATGTATTATTGTTTCTATGTTGTGGCGTTTTAATGGTTTAAAAATTGCGTTTGCTATAAACAAACCAATGACAGGTATCATCGGCCTTAAGATAAAGTCGTTTCTGTATAACTAATAAAAAATAGATCAGTTTTCTGCAGCAGGTCGTGCACAACCTTTGCGTGTTTAATGTTTCATCTCTTGCGACCTCCTGCACGGAACCGTCACTTCAAATACTAGAACCGTCTGTTTACCGAAGGGGAAAACAAAATAGAAAGTGAATTTAAATTCGGCCAATAAAAACTCGGGGATAAATTGATCCAACAAATATCTACTTATTGCTCAATTATTCCAATTAACAATGAAATAATCGTTTACCAGAAATTACCAGAAAAATGGGATCGCGTCTTTTCTAAATTGTTATGGTTTTTTTTATAGGCAAAAAAGAACTGAAAATGGAAAAATTTCTAAATTTTCAACTGACAACAAAACGCTTCTAAAGGGAACAAAACTGGCGATGCCTACAAGGCTCACAAGGCTCTTGCTGCAGAGCATTTTGTGTGTTTTTATACAATTCTATCCTAAGGCAGAAATTTCCTGAAAACATAGAAACTATAGCATTTGCTGACGATTTAATGATCATTGTAACTGGCAAAAACACAAACGAAACTGAATATTTTGCCCACAAGGCGCTATATACAGGGTGACTGGCGATAAGTGTCGAAAATTTCAGGAGGTGTTTCTACTCACCACATGCAACAAGAAACTTCCTATAAACCCCTGTCCAAATCTCAACGATAAAGAAGTAATTTCAAGTTTTTTTTTGTTTTTTTTTTTAAATTTTTCGACATACATAGGTCCTCTAAATTGCTTAGAAACTTCAGAATTACTGACTTCAGAAAAATCTGGTTTTTGCCACCTGAAATAACGTTAAATTTGCTTTAAGAAAACTTATTTACATTGTAAAACTGATGGAAAATTTCTGCACAAAAAAATTCAGAATAAACAGAAATGTTGAAATTTGGAATTTTTTTAAAATGTTGGATTGGTAACTGTTAAAATCTACAAATACATGGAGCTTTGCAAATTCGTTCCCGAAAAAGTTCCCGATTCCATTAGCTTCCAGCGCTATACCCAACTTTTTCAATTGCGCTTCTGGAAGGCCCAAAAATTTGGCATTTTGTTGGAAAAACTTGTATGGATGAAGGGGGGCACGGCAAATTTTCCAGAAAATCCGTCTGGCTCTTGAGTTTCGTGTCAGTTCTTTAATGTTCGATTCAATCAGTTTGCTTTATGTTATCAGCTGACAACTTCCTCAGGTTGGTGATTTCGAAATTTGATTTTGAAATCGAAAAAGTTGGGTATACCTCTGGAAGCTAATGGAATGGGGAACTTTTAAGAGAATTTGTAAAGCTCCAGGAGTTTGTAGTTATTAACAGTTACCAATCCATGATTTTCAAAAAATTCCAAATTTCAACATTTCTGTACATTCTGAATTTTTTGTGCAGAAATTTTCCATCAGTTTTGCAATATAAATAATTTTTCTAAAAAACCAGATTTTTCTGCAGTCAGTAATTCTGAAGTTTCTAAGCAATATGGAAGTCGAAAAATTAAAAAAACCAAAAACTTGAAATTACTTCTTTACCGTTTAGATTTGGACAGGGGTTTACAAGAAGTTTTTTGTTGCATGTGGTGAGTAGAAACACCTCCTGAAATTTTCGACACTTATCGCCAGTCACCCTGTCATTCAGAATAGTGGTCTGAATCAATTAATTTAAAATTTAACCCGGATTCTTTGTTCATATTACAAGACAGTGAACAGATTAAGGAAGTGATGCTTTACTTGATGGGTGAAAAGTTGTAAGAAGTAAAAAAGCTTAAATATTTGGGGGTGATTTTCGATCAAATACTTAAAGGAAATCATCTAGACTATATATGTACCAAGGCGTTTCAAATAATTAATACACTATCAAGGGGCGCGAAGATCTACTGGGGATTAGGGAGTGTAGCTCTAGACATAATATATAAAGGAGCAATAGTACAAATCTTATCTTATGCGGCGCCGATTTGGTTAAATGCAATCTAATAATACCAACGTAGCCAAAAGAGACTGCGAAGAATGCAAAGATTACTGTTACTCAGGATCATAAAAGGATACCGAACCATCTCCTTCCAAGTCTCATGTACAATAGCTGGAACATCTCATCTAGAACTCTTGGTGGAAATATCAGATTTATATAACATCTTAAGGAAATAAACGAAAAAGATGTACCCAACATTAGACCTGTAGAAAAATGGGATGGGAAAAACTACAAGTCCTAATCTGAACCAACTGACAGCAGTTACTATGAATATTTACAGACGGAAGTAAATTTAACAACAGCGTAGGATGTGCTGCAGTGGTATTGGCACAAGGATTAGAAAAACCAATCTACCCAAACAAAACTATCGGATGACTGTTCAAATAATCAGGCTGAGCTGCTGGTGATTTTGAAAGCTTTGGAATGGCTGATAATAAAAGAAGAGGAGGAAAAGAATGTTTGGACCGAATTTGGACTGACAGCTATGCTTTATTGGCAGCAATAAAAAATTACAAAAACAATTTCCCATTCCCAGTACAGATCGGGAAGAACATATACGAATTAATAAAACATAAAAGATGGAAAATATGAATATCCTGGGTAAA